AGCTGAACATAGAGTGTCCCAATAACACACTCGTAGAAACAAACATCGTTGGAACAGGCATCCTAAATATACCATATAACTGCGTCGCATATTGTAAAAATACCAAACTAACACCAAGTTTTAACAATATTAAAATAAATGTTCCTGTCGTCCATACAGAATTCAACATTATAAACGACACTTGCTGTAACCCGGAAAAGGTGCAAGAACAATTGAATAACGAGTCTCCAATCTCTCTTCAGAATATTGATCTTGATACCTTTACCTTTGAAACGAAATCTAAATTAAAAGATTTATCACATAACACAGATAATTTAATAAACGAAAATCATATTTTAAAATATGGAACTCATTATTCAATCATTACTATTTTAATTTTAAGCCTTATTATTGTCTTTTGTGTAATTAAGTTTTACTCTTATGTTAAAAATAAAGACAACAACCGTCTTCCTTTTCGCTTCCCGAGCATCAATCCAATTCCAAGAACGGCTCCAAACCCAGATCCAATTCCACCAGCAAAGCCGACCAAACCACGATCATCCCCTGAACAGATCCCACTTCCCAACATCAGAATAAACACGTAATCCTAAACTCCGCAACAATCATCCCGTAGTTTAGTTTACTGGGGGGAGGTGTTATATCCTTTGATTGCATCCTATAGTACAGACACAAACCCTTTCCTTGCTTACCTAGCATATTCATACTCCATATATACCGCTTTCCGCTACCCGACCAGTTAGTCTCATCCCAACACCCAAACAACCCAGACGGTTGTCGAATTTAATCTTGTATTCTTTTTTTTAAAAACAATTTCAAACCGAGGCTCATAACAGTACGCAACTAAACCTCGGAAATTACAAAATATTTACACTATTATAATAAAGCGTAAACACACATTTCTTTGTTGCCTAAGATGTCAGCAATTACAGCATATTTTTGAATAATGCTATTATTCATAAAAAGCCCCACACTTACGTCACGCTTTATGCTATATATTTTACGCCAATAAACTAAGGTGGTAAATATTTTGGATAAAAACCCTAATGTGGGAAAGAGACCATAAGTTGCTGGCAACATCAAGGAGAAAGGTTTTCATGGTTTGTCATCATGTCATTTTGATATTTGCAATTGATAATTTGACACATGTAAACAATATAATGTTAGATGGTAACACTGAAAGGGTGGCAGAACGGTAGGTCTTTGTCTATATCAGCTCAACAAAATACATGGATGCTTGTTATTGGTCTAAAAATAACCGAATGATTTTAAACACACGACCGCTGGGGTGACGCCGAGTTTTGAATAGTCAGTTACTCTTTGAACGCGCCGCGGAACATTTCTCGGAGACACTTAGTCCTCTAATATCAGAAGTGGTATTCGGATTTTAAAGTAATCATTCCCCCCAAGTTAAGACGAAAAGGACGAGTGAGCGAGTGCGCGGAAAGTGGGTTGCAGCAGCAACTCAGGGTAGTGTTAGCTCGTCTAAATGCCCTAGAGGACAATTCAGTGCGTACTTCAAGTTCCTCGATGGCCGGTAACGGAGAAGACCCCCAAGTGCAAGCACACTCAGAGACGCCGCATGAGGACGTGGCCATCACACAAAACTCCTGCGTCCAAGTTCTATCGTCACCCGCTAGTTTCCCGTCTGCAGTAACGGTAACATCAAGTGAACACGACCGCGTGTTGGAGGTAACAAATAAGATCGCTGATGCGATAAATGCAGTTTCGGAGGTAAGGTCAAACCTTTATATTTCTAGTTTTGACCCATCGCTACATAATTTTGAGGCGTGGTGCGATAAAGTAGAATACGCACGTTCGTCAAATGGTTGGGATGATCGAGAGTGCTTAGCACGTATTGGAAACTGCTTAAAAGGTGATGCTCGAATATGGCTAAACGAGTGGGTTACGAACGATAGAACTTGGCAAAATTTTAAAAATCAATTTAAGGCGTTGTGTCCTCGGCGCGTAGACATAGCGGACATCTTGTTTAATGTTATGAACACAAATTCCGACAGTTACCCGACTTATGCGGAGTATGCACGTCGTTCATTATTACGACTTCAAATTGTTTCCGGATTATCTGAAGAATTAATAGTAGCAATAGTAATTAGGGGTATAACCGATCCACAAATACGAGCAGCTGCAACAAACGCTAACATACTCTCCCAAAATTTAATCAATTTCCTTTCTATTTACACAAAACTGTCACCATCAACAACTAACCAGCAAGTTGTAAGAAATAGTAAAATGAATGAGGAAGGAAGTAAAACAATCATAAAAAAAAGAGAAAGCACCGATGGAAAAATCAAGTGTTTTAATTTCAGTGCTTTAGGTCATAAGCATTTCCAATGCCCCAAGATAATGTCATCAAATATATCAAGTGCTTCTACATCAGTTACACCTAGTACATCATCTGAAAAAAAAAAAAAAAATCTTGTACTTATTGCAAGAAGCCGGGACATCACATTAACAATTGTTTTGCTAAACAGCTAAACAGCGAGCGAGCAGATGTTTAGAGAATACTTAATGTAAATTTTTGTTAAGAGATGAATGATTATAAAAAAAAAGATGATTTTAAATTCTCAACTCGTTTCAAAAATGACAAAAATGTCTCAGACAATGAAGACAAAATCAAAATAGGAATTGGAAAGGAAGTTATTGACAGTAATTGTGATATTGCAATGTGTAAAAAACTTTTCTACGTCAGAAATGCCAAACTATGCGGCTACCGTGTGGAAGGATATGACCATAAATTTAAATAATAGATGGAAACAACATAACCTATATAACATAGTTCAGGATAGGCGAAGTATCCTGACCCTCGCAAGACAAGAAAAAGGCGTAATAATTCCATTATCAGCAGACGTCTCCAACACAAGGTCTGACAATACAAGCGAATCCGAGGATGACTTTGAAATGTATTCGAATGGAAAAAATATGCCAGAAAAGGGTCAACAATTATTTATGGTGCAGCTTACAAAGGAAGAATGGGATGCTATTAGGCCCTTAAGTATGTTTTCTTTCTTTTATCACTAGCAGACCAATATTGTCTTTTCCTTTAAAAAGTCGACGTCGTATTTGACGCTATAATGTCCGTTAACGCTTCTATGGAATTAATTTAAGGATTAATTAAATAAAACTAGACTTGTTTACTATTTATTCATAGGTTCTTGTTGCATATTTTTGTTAGAAATATAACATAAGCAAGAAATTTTATTTCTTTTACATTTCATGTTTACTTGAAAAGATACTCTCTTGTTTGATGTCTGCTGGTCTACTAGTAAGTTGGAGAATGTAACTGCGCCAAGAAATATTTTTATTAGAATTTAATCTGTCGTTTGTCGGAGATTGCTCCTGCAATGTTTGCACAACAAATATATTAGAATAATTCAATACTGATTTATATTTACAGATCTCCCTGAAAGCAAAAAACCTACACTGCAGAAAGGAGTATGGAATAATTTTGTCCTGATTTCCACTCACGCCAAACGAAAATCCCATGCGCATATGTTCTTAAGCGTACCAAAGTTTCAGAAACCACGACCGGCATGTGTAATTTTATTACAATTTGGGGTTAATGTTGATGAAATTTTTGTAAAAATAGGATCAAAGCATTGAAGAGGCACCAGCCGATAAAGATAGATTATTCTCCAAGTTTTAACACAAGATACACGAAACGATGTTACTCACAAGGTAGTAAAATGTCCATTTTAAATAACGAAAAGATGTACAAAAGAATTAGTGCATGAAGGTGCATCTAACCTTCGGAAAAGTAAGGCCCGCTAAGAAATGGTACTGGGAGATAAGGAGCCACCACACCTTCCAAATGCAACAGTTATGCGTCAAGCAAAAAAACAGCATGTTGATAATAACCTAGGAACAGACTTAGTATCAAAGGATCTGAATGCTTCAATTGAAGCATTGTCAGAGCAGGCAGAATTCATAGGAAAAAAATACATCGCGTCCATTCATGGTAGTTTATCGCTCCCCATCTCAACTTCATGCATACAAAGAATACTGCAAACAAATCAATAGCACAGTGATGATAGATGCTACAAGTAGCTTAGTAAAAAAAAATCGAAATAATAAAGCAAGCCCTATTTTCCTGTATAGCATGGTAGTTAATTTTGATAACATAACAATACCAGTTCATCAGATGCTATCAGAAAGGCATAATGACGTGAATTCATCTTTTTTTGCGTGCAGGTACTCCAAAACCAAAGTTGTCTGTGATTTCTCTAAAGCACTTCTCTATGCAATGTGCAGGGAATTCAATGAGACATCCCTGAAAAAATATACTCAGGAGTGTTTTGTAACATTAAAAGCAAAACAACATATTTTGATACACATCTTCGTGTTGACATCGCTCATATATTACATGCTGTTTCATGGAAATGTTGGAAATCCGTTACCCACATTGAAGTCAATTTTTCCTCAGATGTGTTCCACTTATGATACAAGCATCAGACTTGGAGTATTTCAAAAACTTGCTGATTTCCACATTTGCAGTTGCGAGGCAAAAATACTTGGATTCCACTGTGGAATTTCCCATCAAACATAACAAAGCTGGCAAGGAGGTTTCATCCAAGATTAGTGTTCTAGAAATAAGGCATAATCTCGAAACTTTGATGACAAAAACAGGGATTGCTTTGAGAAATGATCTGATACTACCGCAGACAGTGAACATTTACGACCTGTTGATAACCTCGGTCAATATGTTCAATGTGAATCAGATGGTAGCAGAATAAAATCCGTTGCAGATTGGGTCGACGATATATTAACAACATCTTCTTCAACTGATAGAAGGGCGAGAAATGAATGCATTTTACATTCCTGCCTTCATTCCCTTAATGAAGACACTAGCTGTAGAATTTTCCACTCTGGACGAATTGCATTACTCCTAATATGAACGCCAATGCCTCTTCTGGAGCCATCGAGGGATTTCAATGATATCAAAACAAACGTTTTGCGAAAAGACCTACCTCGTGCTAATCACTTTTTGGTTACTTAAGAGATATAGACTGCTGAAGCTTGCTCTTTGTTGCCAACACCGCGAGACATAAAAATGAGGAACGACAAGACGATGAGACAAAAATACGTGAAAAAGAAGTAACATGTAAGCAGGACAATTTACAAATCGTGTCCTGTTAGTATGAGGTTAATTCCCAAAGAAGTCAGCATGACCCTGATTTATGGTCGGTAAAGGATTGGGGAGGGCAAGTACCACTACAATGGCCAGGAGGGAACGGAGGGGTTTAGTGAGGTATGCCGCCTATTATGGGGGGAGAGTCCCACATAACTCTCGTGTCTGCCCCGAGGCACGGAGTATGCGTAACGTATTCCCCTTCGGCAAAAAAAGGGACAAGTACCACAATCCGAATTTGTCAATGGTGCTATCTCTAGAAAAGGTGATGATGAAAGTGAGAAAGAAAGTATTTAAGAAATATCGGTCGTATGGGATCATTCTTACTGTCGGGATTTGAAACTGCTTTACACTATGACAGCGCCTATGAAGTTCCGTGTATCAACAAGAGGTTAAGTGTTGATTTGACAAAAAAAAGTACATGCTTTGGTGAATTTGCAGAAATACAATTAATTAACGCCAGATTAGATAATAAACATGGCACAGGTAGAAAATATAACACATGTTTTCTGGAAAATGGCTCAAAATTAACACAGCCCGTTAACATAAAAAATACAAATTTCTTCGTTCAATCTTGCTCTTTCGACTCTTTGTCGCAAGTAATACAATCGGCAAATATCGATCACCCACTGTATGATGCAGTAATAAAAAAAAATCCGCATAGCATGCTCCAATTTATTACCGAAACATTGGTTACTGGCTATAAGAAAAACTTACACTAATCGAGCACGCCTCCTTTTAAATTGGTATGACCCTCAACCTAATGTACAAACAGAAAATAAAATACTGTCATATACATTGAATGGATATGACAGTATTTTTAATTTCGTCCATAAAGCTTTGCGAATGGAGTGTGCATACAAGGGAAGAGTGTTCACGACTGTGCAAAGAGTACACATCTGTTCTCATGTCACCGAACAGAATAATAGCAAAATTGGGATTCAGCACTATAGAGAAAGCACTAAACTTTTGGCCCTGTCTTAAAAAAATAAAATGTTTTACTAAAGATTGTAATGGATTGATGACCCGTGTAAATCAGCCAGGGATTCATTGATGAGGACGTTCACGAAAATCCGAACGATAAACCTGGTATGCGGTGTAAGATTTCAGAACATCATTAGAGTTCAAAGATGTTGAAGGAAATACCGGTAAGATGTTATTTTAATATAACATCTAGCACTAGTATAGACTATAAGTCTATATTGTTGAAATACTCCTTGGAATTTCTGAGTTTTTTAATCAAAAATATTCTGTCAATGTTTTCGTCAAAGATGAATTGTTTTTTTGTTTTCACAAATACAATGTCTATTAAATTGGAGTAACATTATTTTTTCTTCTATATTATAATTATTTCAACAAATACTATATACTATTTTATAATAAAGCGTAAACACACACTTCTTTGTTGCCTAAGATATCAGCAATTACAGCATATTTTTGGATACTTCTTTTTTTAATAAAAAGCCCTACGCTTACGTCACACTTTAGGCTATTCATTTTCATGCCATTAAACTTAGCGAGTAAATATTTTGGATAATAACCCTAATGTGGGAAAGAGACCATAAGTTGCTGCCAACATCAAGGAAGCAAAATTGCCATAGCAAGGCAATTGGTATTTTGACATTTGTAATTGGGAATTAGACACAGATAGTAATGAAATAATTAAGTGTGAAATTAAAACGATTTTTTTTTAATTATTTTAAGATTAATTGGTGCTGTCAATTTTACTTCAGGCCATTTTACTGGATATTCGTTCCGTAATACAGGGAACTGGGAGCATTATTATGATATGGAAATAAACAAAACATTCCAATCTGCTGAAAACGAAATTGAGCCACATCTTATTATGTATGTTCGGCTTCAAGGAACATGATTTATTTCTTTTTTTTTATAACATAAGGTGGGAAATGACAAAGCGGCCTCCTGAATCTACCGAAATGGAAAGCGACCGCTGCCCATAAACATCCGCAATTGCAGATGCGTTGCCTACCTTAATTGATGGCGGAGGAGATGCACATAAAGAGGACATTCCCCTTCTGATGCGTCTCCTCCACCGTCAAATCCACTTTTTCTTTCCATCCTTTCCTCTGAAAAAAAGGGTGAAGGAAAAGAGACTAAAATTAGGCCTCTGGCACCACACTCATCACATGAAGCGCGGAATTGCTTCCACTTCACGCCTGATTTCTGTGTGGTCGTGGTATTATTGGCGAGCTGGCCCATTCGTGCGAAAATGTTAAAGCGGGCTCTACCACTGTTAAATTGCATTTGTTAAATAAAATTTCAAACTGCATAAGGCTTACAGGCCAGGTTCCAACATTAATAATTAAAAATGATTCAATTAGAGAAATGATGAGCTAAGTAGATTTAAGTGAATCAAGAATCATTTTTTCCCACATGATTATATGGACAAGAAACAACTTAGAACAAGAATTGATTTACACTTTTGGGCCAAGTCTTTCGAATTTGTAGATGCGGGCATCAGCTAGATAACTATAAATTATTGATTAAAAGATAATAACTTAAAATTACTAGCTTTTGCCCGAGACTCTGTGTAAATGGCATTAAAAAAAGTAAACAGCCTGTTTTCTTTGAGACTATGCTCTACATCTATACCAAATTTCATCAAGATTCATTCAATGGTTTAGGTTAAAACTCTAACAAGCTTCCATCTAAACTTTCACATTCAAAGTGATTGCTGCCCACAGACATTGGCAATAGCAGTTGCATTGCCTGTTCTTAACTGACAGAGGAGGTGCACAAAAAGAGGATGCAAATTCAAATCCACATTCCTTTCCCACCCTTTTCTTAAAAGATAAATGGTGGAAAGGAAAAGGGACTAAAGATGAGCCTCCGGCACCACATTCATCAGACTGTACACAGAATTGCCTCCACTTAACTTAAATCTTACTTACAAGTAGGAATTCTGGTGTTTGCATTAATATCTGAGCTTGTTGAATCCTTTGCTGGAATTTCCACATCTTCCTTAATATACTTCTGCACTCCCAACAGAGAAGTACATTCTCATACATGTATGTCTGGAATTTTAGGTGTTTTTTCTAATTATCCAATATTAAACAGAACATAAATGAACACAAGCTGTTTCTCTTCTGATATTTTTTGATAATAGAATTACTAGCTTTTGCCAGTCGGTCTGTCCGCATGGTATTAATAAAAACAGAAGTAATCTATCTATCCAAACTTTCACATTTAGAATATCAGTAAGATTATAATAAAATATAATTTACCTTTGGTTTTAAAATTTGAAATATTTCGTTGAATTCATCTAATAGAGCTACATTTCGGTCTGCACTCAAACAAACATAGCAAATATTAACTGTTTCCACTTTTATACTTATATTTAGTCTCCAATTGAACTAAATTGTTTTCAATAAATGCTAGGATGCGAAAATTCTTATAACATATTTTAGAATACCAGTACCCATTATATTCGAAAGCACAAAACATTATTTACAATTAAGTCGAAAAAAACGAGACACGATAAACAGTTTGAAGTTACAATCTGACATTGACAGATTATTCAGTGTTGCCAATGAAATCTTTCACCCGGCCGTGTACATCGTACAAAATAGCCGTTTTGTATGGGAAAAGATGTGCCGTGGTACAAAAAAGGAGGACTTATTAACATTATGTAGCTAGATATCGCTAATTTAACATTTGAATATAAATGAACTGTGTTAAAATTGTCCCGCATTTGTTTTATAAATTCGTAAATAATTTATTTCAGTTTCATTATTCCTGGTACAAATCATTGTTGACAGACGACTTCTTAAAACTCAAATTAAAAGAGAATTAATTAAAGAAAACCTATGAATTATTGTATATCTACGAAAAGTCGTAGCACCCGCTACAGCCCAAGGGTTTCAGCCATAGGTCGTAGATTTTACAATTTGACGGCAACACTGATCAGCACAGATGCAGAGTAGAACAAGAAAATTTAATTTATTGAAATAAGCAATTTTCTAAGTTTATTTGAATTCCGCGCGGTTGGGTTGAAGTCGCAGTTAAAAAGCTAGTTGTATAAAATTAAATAAAACGAACATCTTATTGGAAGCATTTTTATTTTGCACAAAAACTAAAGCGCTGAAGATTTTTAGGCCTAAATCTACAAAGAAAGTTTTGTACCAACTTGTGTCCACGGAGATAAAATAGTTTAGTTTCTTGCATTTTCGTTTGTATGGATGGATTTTCATCACGTCCATACAACTGATCTAATCTGAATGGACCTTACAGTCTGGAATAGTCCAGTCAATTCAGTTTTTTACTCCTTCCATGCGTCTTACATCTTGTCTTTGGTTAGGTGTTTTCTCTCATGGATTCGTTGTCTATGATTACGTAACGCACATGATCTTGCGAAATACTGTAACAATTATAATTTTAAAACCACATTTTAATGGGAATAAATCGTGAAGTTAATTTAACTATGTTTTTTTTTTCTTTTATTACCTTATCACAAAGCTGACAATAATGTTTAGTTTTCTTCAAATGTACCAAATTGTAGTGATTATTCGAGGATCTTTTGGAGCTGAATATTCTGTCGCAACCTGGACAAGGAACTCTAAAATGATGCAATTTCAAGGTACAGTCAGACCACTTCGCGGTGTTCAATTTACAGAAAAATTGCTTTGACCCTTGCAATGAGATAATCTCCGCCTTATTCATAACAAGCGCTAATGGTTTGTGGTACGGACTACCGATCTTGCGGTCTGGGGATATGGTTCACAGTCGAATTCTGCCATTCGATTGTGAACCATATCCTTGCACATGCCTACAGCTTGGAATTGTTAAAGGAAATACAAAAAAAATACCTTTGTACCACTGACTGATTTTTTTATCTTTTTATAGGATACCTTATTCCGCTCGTACTTGTAAACTTAAAAGCTATTGGTTCCACTTCCAAAATATCCAAAAGACTAGCTTTTTTTTTTACAAAAATGTATATATTGATTATAAGCTTTTTTACTTTTTATTTACATTTTTTATGACCAGTGATAAAAAAGTATATCATGTATCGTTCAGAAACATTTTTTTAAGTCAAAAAAAAAATAAAAAATCATAAGAAGTTATTTTTAAATCTATGGTTTTTGGATCGTATTGCATCAGTGCGCAAAGTGTTGCCACTTTCCAAATTTAATGATAATTCTATATGGTTTAAAGAGAAAATTATTAAGAGGTTATAATATTTTGGGGATACATACTTGATTGGCACACGTGGCTTATGTGCTACCGCGTGATAAAGATGTTTCTTATATTTATAAACATTATCGAATTGCATATTACATTCTACGCAGTAAGATAACTCAGTAACACTGTTACGTTTCTTTGGATGGTGTAAACGTTTGTGTGAGTCAACCGCTGTGCCGCTGGAGCACAACCGACCACATACATCACAAACTGATGGTAGATGTCTGAACCTGGTGATAAAATACCTTTCTTATACCATCAACTACATTAAGTAAACGGCGTCAGTCAGATTTTGAATTTTCTTTATAATATTGGCAAACGAGCAAGCGGCCTGAATCCACTCAAATGGAAAGCGACCGTTGCACAAACATCCGCAATTGCAGCGTTGCCTACCCTTCATTGACGGAGGAGACGCACATAAAGAGGACATTTCCCCTTCCTATGTGTCTCCTCCACCGTCATATACACTTTTCCTTCCCATCCTTTTCTTTTAAGAAAAGAGTGGAAAGAGAAAGGGACACTCATCAGACTGTACGCGGAATTGCTTCCACTTGACGCCTGTCTGTGTGGTCGTGGTATTGCTGAGAGCCGTACAGTGCGAACATGTTAAAGCTGGCTCTACCACTGTTAAGATAAGACGTTGTGATTTTTCACCGGTAACTTCTTTTATAGTTAAAAAAAAACATTTAACAATGTTATAAAAGCTCCTAATTCTATTGTAAAATCACATTATCTTACTAATCTTACTAATATTATAAATGCGAAAGTTTAGATGGATGTTTGTTAGTTCGTAGCCTAAACAGCTGAACGGATCTCGATGACATTTGGCATAGTAGTGTATGGTCTGGAAGAACACATAGGTTACTTAGTTTTTTTTTTATTTCGAGTCGCGGGAGAAAGTTAGTGTCATGTAAATATTAATTTAAACAATAATAATAGCCAATACGTACTTTATGTGAGATTCTATCGCTTTCTTAGATCTACACGTTGCTCCGCATTGGTCACAAGTAAACTGGGGATGCATTTTGTCGTAATGCTGCACCATTTCATTGTACGTACTGAAAAACTGTATTCATTATAATAGAACAGTAGAACCTTCATAACTCAAACCTCGGTAACTTAAAAACCTCTATAACTTCAAAAAATATGTTCCCTTCCTATCAGAGCCCAAATAATAATATTAAAGCCTTTATTGCTGAAGATTGTACATTTGATTTTTTTTGTAAGTCTAATTTTAAATTTACATTTTACCTACATCTATTTTTTCTTAGATATTGGCGACTCTTAAACCACTATCTACAGCTTGTCCCTGGACATAGGCCTCTTCTAAAGTCTTCCATTTTTCCCTAACTTAGTAACTTAAACGTTTCCACAACCTTTATAACATAAAATAATTTGTCGAAGAGAAATTTTGAACGAGTGCAAAACAAAATGCTTCAATATTTTCTGCTTGCACGATCTTTTATAAAATAATGTAACATCATAAAAGATAATGTATTCTATTTGTCATTGAAAATCAAATCTAAAAAAAAATGTTTAAAACAAAAGAATCACAGACTTTTTAAGTAAACTAAACCTGCAATGTCCCTGAACAATTAAGTATGATAATTTAATTTTCATTTACCAATCATGAGGCATTCAAGTAATAAAAAAAACATACAGACGAATTGAGTACCTCCTTTTGGAAAGTCGGTCAAAAACAGGAACAAGGGTACATACCTCTGTAATCCTATCCCTAACATAGCCCCTTGATAACTTAAACCTCTATAACTTAAAATATTTTGTGTTTCCCTTGGACTTAACTTATCGAGGTTCTACTGTATATTAGAGGAAGTTTGAGAGTAGCCCTAGTGGTAGAGAAAGTAAGGTGTGAAGGGTTAGCATGGTAAATAGGAGGGATGAATCGCATGTTACAAGAACGACGTTAGTTAGTGTAGAGGTACACAAGTAGAGGAAGACGTAGAAAGAGATGGATGTATTGCGTGAAAGGTGACATGATGAAGGGAGTGACTGAGATGACGGATGTTAGTGTTATTTGGAGGACGAAAACCCTACCTAGTAGGATAAAGTAGGGGAGATGATGATGTAATCTTTTTTTTCACACCTTGTATTAAAAATTGATATTTCTTTAGTAATCAATAATCTTATTTCTTATTAATATTATAAATGCGAAAGTTACGATGGATGGATGTTTGTTAGCGTTTGTAGCCTAAACGGATTTCCATGAAATTTGGCATAGGTTTAAAGCATAGTCTGGAAGAACACATTTTTATCCCGGGAATAGTTATGGTTCCCGTGGGATTCATTCAGTTTTTTAATGTTTACTCGATCATTCTTCAACGATTCAACATATCTTATTGAAATTTGGCACAGATATAAAACAAAGTGTGGAGTACACATGGGATAAGGACCATCTCCGAGAATTGTCCGGTTCCTGGGATACATAGCTTTTTATTTATATAGTTCGTATGTTTTCTAATACCACGCGGACGAAGTCGCAGGTAACAGCTAGTACTTACTAATAGTATTCCCTGCACTCTAAACATCGATATTGATATCGGTGTATAATTTTTATATGACGAATCACGTAAGCCTCAGTCTTGAATACATCCGCACATAAACAACATTTGTAAATAAAATGTGTGGTCAAATGCTGCTGCAGTTCAGATACTGTGTTCAATCTACCTGTGTTCTTTACGTCACATTCACAACATTTGTATGGTCCATTTATCTAAAAGAGAATAATAAAATAGGATCAGTTGTATATTTCAAAATGATTGCAACTTTACCGTAGATTATTAAAAAACAGATGAACTACGAAAAAATAACGCATTTTATAAATTCATGCGGATGAAGTCGCGGGGAACAGCTAGTATATCTATACTAATATTATAAATATGAAAGATTTGGATTTTTGTATGTATTCGATTGACGTAAAAACTATTGGACCGATTTCAAAAATTCTTTCACCGTTAGAAAGGTAATTTATTTGTGAGTAACATAGGCTATATTTTTTTTATTTAACGCATGTGAAGTTGCGAGCAACAGCTATACTAATATTATAAAGAGGAAAGATTTGTATTTAGAGAAAGATATGTATTGAAATAACTCAACAACTAGTGGACCAATTTCATAAATTGTTTTACCATTTAAAAGCTATGTTATCTGTGAGTAACATAGGCTATGTTTTTTACAAATAGTAAAGTTTTTACTTCTCGCGGACGAAGCCGCGAACAGCAATTAGTTTATAATCCACATAAGCTCATAGTAATCAAATCGAGGCTAAACAGTTCTGCGATCATCATCACCAGCTCACTATAGGTCCCCACCGAGGGGCTCGGAGCCTACCCTAAGTAAGGGTGACTAGGCCATAGTCAAACCACGCTGCACTGCGGGTTGACTTCACACATATCTTTGAATTTCTTCGCCGATATGTGCTACATCACGATGTTTTCCTTCACCGTAAGAACGTTGGGTAAATTATATACATATGAAAATTCGAAAAATCGAAACAGGTACAGCAGGATTCGAACCCAAGACCTGTAGATTACAAGTCTAGTGCTCAAACCACTGAGCCACCGACACTCAATTTCAAGTCTATAATATTAGTAACATTTTACAAACCGGTAAATGTAGTACAGTTTCATGTCTCCTTAGATCGATTGCAAGACGAAATCCAATATGGCATATTTTACAAAAATATCTAAGTTTCAAATTAGATTTTAAAGACAATCTTTTTTCCATAACCTCTTTTAGTACTTCGTAATTCAAATTTGTTTTAACATAAAATTCATTTAATTTCTCAATTCTCGTAGAAAGATCATTTTTTTCATATCTACATTTCGTTGGCCTTATATTTCTTTTAATTGATTTCTTATTTATTATTTCTTTTATTTCATCCTCACTAGAATCATTTATTTTATTATCTACATTTGAATCTACAGAAACATTGGATTGTTCAATTTCTATTTCAATTTTTGTGTCCTTCATTAAATGTTCGACAACTTCATTTTTTATCTCTGTAACTTCTTTCCTACCCTTAAAATCTTCACATATTTCATCATCTGAAGATTCATCTAATTCTTGTTCTATTTTCAAATCTAATAACCCTTTATTTTCTTTGTAACTCTCATGTACAATACATTTACTGTCAATAATTTTTGATTTTAACGTCGATAGACTGGATATAGAATAGTTCTGGAATAAATGAAATAAAGCAAATAAAATTAACCTAAAAATCATTTAGTACAACAAATTGTATTTATTGTAATTACTTAGTAATTATACAGCTAATTTCATTATTATTCTACAATACTAATATTACAAACATCAAAGTTTAGATGGACGGATGTTAGAGTTTGTAGCCTAAACAGCTGAATGGATGTCAATGAAATTTGGCATAGATGTAGAGGATAGTCTTGAAGAATACATAGGCTACTTGATTTGGTATTTTTTAAAAACAAGCGGATGGAGTTGCTGACGAAAGCTTGTCATTAATACAACATACATGATTGGTTAATTGAAAAAGAAAGTGTAGAGTTTGTCTTCTTGGGAAAGGCAATTTCTCTATAATTGGAACACCGCAAAGTACTCTGACTGTACATATTGTAACAATCTATACTAATATAATAAAGTGTAAACTACTTTGTGGCTTAGGACGTCAGCAATCACAGCATGTTTTTTAATAATTCTTTCTTAAATAAATTGCCTTACACTTATGAGATGCTTTAGGCTGTATATTTTCATGCTATTAAACTTAGGGGGTAAAAACCTTCATTTGGAAAAGGGACCATAAACTACAAGCTGCCAACATTAAAGAAGCAGTGTTATTACGGTAATGGTAATTTTGACATTTGCAACTAAGAATAAATCGATAATTTTCGATACTAAACACTATGTATGTATGTATATGTATATTATATATATCCCTATATATATATTTTCCCTCATCGCACACAAGCCTACGCAACAATACACAAATACATACACATACACACAGCAACACACACTCGTAAGTGCAATGATGGCTTATATTATACCTCAACTACCCCCTATATCATAAACTGAACCATGTTATAGTAGTTTAGGGGAGGCTGAAAACCAGCACGGCCTTCAGTGACAAGCTGGAGGCCGCATCAGCTAAGCCTTTTCCTTTTGGCCAAGAGTTTTTACCTTTATTTTTATTTCAGTAATAATTGTAAGTTGTTTTAATCAATAAATAGTGTATTATCCTTTTTGTTTTATTATTTTTTTTTAATTAGACAAATGTAAACAGTAAAATAAAATTTTTACAATTTCATGTGGATGTACCCGCATGGAAACAGGTAGTTATCAAATAAAACATTATTGTATTCCGCAGGGATGACGTGAGAGATGTTTTAAATCAAGATGTCATGGAAACTGCTTACTTCAAGTGGAGTATCACTTCTATAACTTAATCTTTGGAAAATACAGAACTGTGTCAAAGAGTAACAGCAGTAGAAAGGAACAATAAAAACATCAATTACATTTATGCCAGCAAAAATCACTGATTTCTCAATATTTTGATTAGGAAAACCAGAAAAGAGTTTACTTGCCTACATGCTAGCCCTGGATTAAAAAAAAACATTTGTTGGATAGAAATTAACGATTAAATTGTTACTTGTTATACTTACAATTAAGAGATGAGGTTTTTGCATTAATATCTGAGCTTGTTGAATCCTTTGCTGGAATCTCCTTGTCTTTTTTAATATACTTCTACACTCCCAACAGAGTTGTACACCTTCATTTATACATATCTGTGAAATTATGTATTTTTTAATTAACCCACTATTTTTTTAAAGAATTTCAATTGGTTTACAATTTGAAATAAAATTACCTGTGGCATTAGGATGTTAAATAAACCAGATAGTTCACCTAAAGGAGTTACATTTCGATCTGCACTTAAACAACCATGGCAAATAATAACTATTTCCTCTTTTGTACCCATTTCTACGTTCCAATTAACTTAAACTCGATGTGAAAAACTTTCCGCTTGCATTTAGTAAACATTCAGTAACCAGATTTGCATTGCACCTACAAAATAAAATACGCACAAAAATATAAACGAAAACGAAAAGCAATTTTTGTATTTTGACAAGTGACACTTGACATTTGATGTTGCTGCCTTTTATCATTCGAAGCAAATTGAGAAAGTATTATAAGCAGTAAAATTAAACAATTGTATTTTTTTTACTGCTATTAATTGAAACAGTTTGTTTTTAAAATATACATAAATATTTCCATTTGTATTAATGTTTAGTTAAATTATTTTTTTTGCTTTTATACTTTAACATCAAATCATAATGTTTTACACTCTGTAAAATATCAAACATAATGTCACATTCCCCGCCAGATTTTCCGATTCTTTTTTTTATATTTAAATCCAGGAATATAAATACATAGAACGATTTTGCGATCAGTTTCCCTTTTGTGCGCATTTTTTCCAAGTTTTTTTGGTAAATAATTATGTGTATTAATACAAATATAAAATACAATATAAAGTATAAAAGAAGAAAGAACTATTTTAGTTCACTATTATGCTGAACAATAAAAATCAATACGTGATTAAAAGATGGCACCGGTTGTGTACTTCAGGAGACTGAAATGTTTTGATAAAGTTATTGTCGTCCAGTAAAATGACGAAATCACGAAGATTTAATTTTCTTTTGGCCAAGTTGATTGGTTCTTTGTCAATCGTTTTTCCGTTTTTTTCTGACTAGCATTTACTGTTGAATTGGGTAACTTTAAGAATTATTGGATTTTTCAATATAATTAAATGTGTTGTTGGTCTGCATCTTCTACTTTTTGCGATGGTTGATAATATATAAGTTGATGGCTATCATTGGGTAGTTATTTCGCTATTTTAGTGAAATCAAGTGTCCATTTGGTTTTATGTCAAGAAATTTTAAAGTCCAAGAAAAGGTGGAGGTTTGGATAGTTTGCTTTCAAAGTCAATGTTGTTTTTACCTTTATTTTAAAGGTATTGTCAGTCAATGTTTATCAAATTTAACTATAATTAAACATTCCTTACGACTCCATGTGTATCTTGTCAATGGAAGTTTGAATTTTTAAACTAATCTCATCTGTCCACTTTGTAAATGCGCTGAGTATTTGAACATGTTTCTCTATGTCTTTTACACAATGAAAGCTCTGGCTTGTCACATTTTTCCGATAAATGGACCTGGTTGGTGGATTTACACATTAATAGATTTTTTTAATCTTATATAGAGTTTGAAGACAATCAAAACCAGTGATGTTTTTTGTATTTGTATTTTACAAACTGACTTTAAACAAAAAATAATAGTGACAATCATTAAAATAACTTTAAATGCATATTCATATCTAATTATGATACAAAATGTTCTGATATTGCCGGAGGCCTAATTTTAGTCCCTTTTCCTTTCCACCCTTTTTTTAAGAGGGAGGGATTGAAAGGAAAAGTGGAATTGACTGTGGAGGAGACACATATAAAGGGGAAATGTCCTCTTTACGTGCGTCTCTTCCGTCGATGAAGGGTAGGCAACGCATCTGCAATTGCAGATGTCTATGGGCAGCGGTTGCTTTCCATTTCGGTGGATTTAGGTGGCCGCTTGCTTGTTTGCCACCTTATATTATAAAAAAAAATGTTTTTTGTAGATTTCTGCAGATGGGATTTCTCAATGGGCTATACTTTTATGTATGTCTATGATGTATACTGAATACTGTTCATCTATTCCAAGTGATTGACCCAGCTAATATTACTGCCTGATGTGTTATTGCCTTCTTCGAGCATATCTGTCAAAACTGGTTGATAAAACTCTGTGATTGTTTATTCTTATGGGATTTTCTTTATGAAAAGGGTGTTCTCCAAGTTGTTGCCCAATATAAATTCAATCATCACTCTCTTATACCATTTGCTGCATTGTATAAGTGACCCATTTACTTTATTTTAGTACTTTATTTACTTTAGTTCAGAGAGGGTTAGTTTTGTTAAAAAATGGACACTGTTTAGAAATTGAGGAGTCAAGTGCGGGATGTGTGAGAAAAGAACACATCTGTTTCGGATAATAAGCTTCAATGTAACTTTTAAAAGGAACTGCTTTAAAAACTAACACTAGCTTACATACTTAAAGAAATATGTTTCCCTACCTCATCTCCGGGGAAGCAAAAGAAAAAAAAATTATTAAGAAATACATTTTTTTACATACTTGTAATAACAGTAATAATAATAATATTGACAGAAATAATGAACTATTTTAGTTCACTATGCTGGACAATGAAAATACTTTTAAAAAAAATTCTGATGTATCTGGTGTTCATCTTCATGGCAAGTACTTAGTTTGCTTTCTTCGCGGTCGCTTTGCTCCTCGCACTTCGGGCCACGGAGCATGGAGTTTTTAAATTAACACCACCTGCTTGTACAATTTGTATTAGCTAGTAAGATTTTTAAATAAAACTCCTTATAAAGGATGCGGCGATGAGAAGACGAAAAAAAAACACTTGTTTTAAAAAAGGGTGCACAGTTCGAGTTCCGACGGCCGACTTTTACTAGTGTGGCGGCCACCCTCCACATTCACTTTATTTTTTATATTCAAAAACTACCAACATTATTTCCATCTACCGCGGTAAAAGTTGGTAGCCTCGAAATCTTGACTTCTGCGACCATGTTAAAGTTGGTCAAAGATCGAGGTTTATTCTGGTGTTATTGCGGCAGGTTTCCTCTGTCATTTTTATTGTCTTTGCTGTTGGCACGGATATATCTTGGCCGGTAACCAGGCGGAAAGGTTCGTGAGTGTCGCAGTCGCGTTCAGGCGTTTACTGATGTCGCAGACACCGCTTGGCATAATAGATGTAATTTTTCAAGTTTCTTGTTTCTGTGACAGCTGGTGATTGACAGCGATTCACTTTTTCGAAGAATCGAAAGTGGTAATAAATCACAATATTAACGTAAACGCTACCATGTGGTTGGGGAATATGGTGGATGGTTGGCTTACCTCGTCTTGTGAATGCGCTTCTTCTTACCAGCATTCTTCTCTAGGCCAGTTTTCGGTTTGAAGGACCAATGACCGCAGTGTTCGGTTTGGAATAAAACTTTTCTTTGCATATAACAAATTTATTTACTTTGTGAGTACTAGACTGAGTTTCGTTGTGGACTCACTGCCAGTGGGTTAAGGCAGTTAAAACACAAACTAAACGAAAGCGACTATCTTGCAGAATCTTCATGATACGATTTGTTTTTCTTAGACATGTCATGGGACAAAAGGCAGGTTGGAGAAGTCTTTTCACTTGATTCTCCCTCATGAGGTTGAGTACCAACATTTTACATGCCCAAATCTACAAAACTTATTGAATTAAATTGTGGGTAATATGATATGGTTCAATGGGGATGAAATTAAAAAAAAAACGTAAACTTACCGTAAAAATTTTGGTGACCCAACATTCAGATCCATACAATACAACAGGTCTTATGATGGACTTGTAGATCTGTCCCTTAAGCTTAAGAGGCATTCTTGGATTACAAGTCACACCAGTAACCTGTCCCCATTTCATCCAACCTGCATTTATTCGGCTTTTCACTGTCAACGCCACCGTCGGACTGGACTAGAGTACCGAGGTACTTAAAGTCGGAGCAGGTTGGTAGAGGCACACCATTTAAGGCGATTGGAGAGAAGCTAAAATCGCAAAATAAATGTTCTGTTTTGGTCCCTGCTGATTTTAAGACCAGCTCCCTCCAATTTCATACCGTAATGTTTTGGCTTTTAATTTTTTACAAGCCAGCCGCCTGCCTGACGCCAAATCCTCCTAGGGAGTACTTAAATAATAACTATTGACTATTTTATTTATTATGACTACGTATTTATTAAAAATTAAAATAATTACAAAACAAACAAGGAATAAAAATTGTAAAACACGAAAAACACTAAAAGTAAGTTCCTCTATTATGGTTCTGTTTGTGGTCTTTCTCGTATATAATACGATTTGCAATAAATGAATTTGGATTTTTTGTAACATACTTATTGTTCGTCAAATCGATCGTCAAAATAAATAAAAAAAAAATAGTTATAAAATAGTTATTATAAAAAAATTAATTTCCCCTTGGACAGAGGACTGGTGTCCAAACTAGGGTGGTCCCTGTGTAATTGATCACCAGGCTCCGCCCCCACAGACCAAAGTGAATCTTACAAACCGATATTTATTACTTAGTAAAAATGAAGAAGAAATTAGAGCTATACGTTTGTTTCTCATTTTTAGTGTAATACTGTTTTCTCAATAAACTAACACCATTTTTCTTGTAAATTCTTTCTTTATTTTTACTTAAAATAATTTTAAAACATAACAAAAATTCTTGACATCATTTATAGTTTTTCGTCTTGTACACTTTTTGCTCTACGTCTTAATATTTTTTTAAATAATTTTTTAATAATTTTAAAATAAAAAAGGTCTTGGCGGCCAATATGCAACCTCTTTGGCTGTATTTATAATTCTTGTCAGCCAAAGAAGTTGTATTGCGCTAAACAAATACTCATACCTTTAATTTCTTATTTTTATATATAATATATTTTACATGATTAAAAAAATGAAAATAAAACATATTATATTAAAAAAATAGAAGTCCACCGGCTGCGGAATCCGACGACTCAAGCAACCATTGATCAGGGCTGCAGAGACAGGAACCTCCTCACTATTCGTGCAGTTTCCAAAATAACCGCCTTTTGAATCGGGCCTTTAATCCAACTGTCTAGCGACAGCTTGAGGTGTTGGTCGAAGCTCTTCCCTATTAGCCCGTGTACCGAAACGACTATCGGAATAATGGTAGTCGATTTCATAGCAATATTAATTAATACAACTAAAATATTAGCTTCCAAATGACATAGAAAATTATATACAATATGCTATGTACGGATGCCATTGCAGTTGTTGCTTCGGCATTTAAAAAGTTATTTTCGTCATCTAAGATAGACTCCACACATTGATTAAGCTGTGATAAATTTGATATTGTAGCGGGGGGTGCGGGGCGAGCGTTACGTGGACGATCACCGCTTACATAAATGACCCAACTTAGGTGAGGCGCATTTATGTATGGCGAGTTAATGCTTTTCCGAGGACCTTTGAGTGTTCAAGCAATGGTTGAAGCACCAAGAGTGCCTAGCGTAAGCACACTACGAATAACCAAGCACCCCTCAAGCTCGTCACGAGCTCCCTTCAAGCTCACCCAAAGTTGGTCACAGCGGCCGAGGTCACGAAACCATCTATGTACATCAATAGTGGCATATAAGTGAACCACGGCGCCATCTAGTGACAAGCGGCGTAATTGTTCAGTTGCATCAATGCATTAAGGCGCCGCATGCACGATTTTACTACTCGGCATACGTGGCGCGAGTAGTCTTCATTTATCTTGTTACAATATGTTATAATTTAGGGGCAAAAATACTATTTTTCTGTAAACTCTGTTAATTACACATTCACTATTTGTGCAAGATTCTTTTAAAGTAGCACTGTAGATTGTATTAACCAGAATGTTCTCAAAAATGTATGCTATATTGCATTCGAAGGAAACTAAAGTTTTATTATTATGAAATGTTACATTAAAATATGTTATAAACAACATTGTAACTTTTGAACTACAACAAATCGAATTTATTTCCCTTAGGGATGTACCTTTGCATTTACAAAAAATATTTCGTCTTCCCTTACTGGCTACTTCCAAAGCCATCCACTTTTTTCCATTGCTTTTATTGTAGCCCCGTTTTCTTGTATTTTTGTAATTTTTCCTGGGTATGATAAACCATTGTAAATTGCAACTACTAATTCCCCTACTTCTTTTCTGATGGGCTCAAAAGCTCTATGACCCTCGCCATCACTGAATAACTCTTCTTCCCCCCCCCCCTGACGATGATGGAAGTGGAGGACATTCATCAGAATCAGATGAGGTGTCATCGTCAATTTTTTTTAAAAAGATTTGTCGAAAAGTTTCAAGCAGATCAAGAATGTTTTTTTATCTTGTTTCGTGACTATGGACGAGACTTGGGTTCATCATTTTGATCCTGAGACCAAATAACAGTCGATGACTTGGAAGCGAGCCTCCTCTCCAACACCGAAGAAATTCAAAGTATCAAGCTCTGCGGGCAAGGTTATGGCGTCTGTTTTATGGGATGCCGAAAGAATTATTATGATGGAATACTTGAAAAAGGGAGCCACTATTACTGGGTCTTACTATGCTGTCCAAATAAGAAGACAGCGGGAGGCGATTAAGAAAAAAAGACGTGGCAAACTACGAGCTGGAGTGCTGTTTCACTAAGAACCTCGCGCCGGCTCACAAATCCGCAGTTGTGATGGCTGCCATTCAAGAAACGGGAACTGCTGGAACACCCATCCTAGTCGCCAGATCGAGCTACCACTTTCCTCGGCTCAAAGAACACCTACGTGGTGAAAAATTTGAAGACGATAGCGCAGTGATGGCTGCTGTTGAGGCGTTTTTAGAGAGTCAATACAAAGATTTTTTTTAAAAAAAGGAATCGTGGGTTTAGAAAAAATATATTAACTTATGTACTTGGACTATGTTGAAAAGTTAAATATTTTTTTTTTGTTTTCATCACCGTGTTTTATTTTGATTATCATTACTTTTGGGTCACCCCTCGTATCCGAGTAAACATTTCATATTGATGTGGAAATTATTTTTGTATTTTTTAATCCCAAGTAGGGTTGGCGACAGGCAGGCGGCCGGACGCAAAAAATAGTGCCGAATCTAAAGGTTTTTGAGACCCGAAAAAAGAGGACAAAAACCTGTTGCGCTGACCCTACGGGAGTAGGTTAAGGAGATGATGATGATGATGATGATGAATACTATAAAATTAGCGATAAAATTTATCCCAAGACATGCAGTGTTTCAAGACGAAAGTCTCTGACCAGTGTGTGTTGCCAGCAATGACGTATGGAACGGAGACGTGGCCAATCACTGCGGGCAACATTAGGTATAGTCACATAAAGGGCAATGCTCGGAGTTTCTGCGAGAATGCGTTAAGAACAATGCGATCCACGGGGTAACCAAAGTAAACCGACATTGCCTCAAGAATTGCCAACCTTAAGTGAATGATGAACAATTATAAATTACATATGGAAGTAGTAAATTCCACTTTTGGGTTTAGATTGAAAGTGGTAATTGGTACTGTAGCTTCAAAATCGCAAAGTTTAGTGAAAGATGTTGATGCAAACAAAGCAGAATGTTTTAATGGTGTCGTTGCTTAAAATAAAAAAAAAAAACGTTGAATCAGATAATTATCACATACATTTTAAACAAAAAATTAAGACAAAAGAATAAAAGAAAATTGAAGTGTTACTGGCTGTAGTGGACTGTATGATAAAATAAAATAAAAGTTCTCGGAGATACTACCGCCTTTATTGCTCTCAATATACTGGACATCAAATATGTTTAACATTGACTATTTATATTTCGCCGCGACCTAAATAAATGCTGCCTCGTGCCATGATTTTATTTTGCTATTGTTAATTCAAAGACACCGCGTCCTTCGTAGCACGCTGCCAAAGGAACATCAAAGGATGACGCCCTTTCTGGTATGAAAAACTCTTCAATCATGCCACATATCGCTCCGACGCAACAGTAACTGCGCGCCCTCTGCCATCCTCAAAGAAGTAAGGCCTTAGGATACCATGGGCTGACATAGCAGCCCAAACAGTCACTTTCGGACTATGTAAGGGTTTCTGATGCTTAAGTTTTGGATTGATGGGGCTCCATTAGCGGCAATTTTGTTTACTAACATGCCCGTTAAGATGGAAATGAGCCCCGTTAGAGAACATTATGTTATTGAAGGAAGTAAACCGATTCAACATTATAATCGCATAATTTGGTCTTTGAATACCGCCAGTTTCCTTTAATTTTTAAACCATCTGAATTTTGTAAGGGTGCTTATGTAAATCTTTCTTCAAAATCCGTTGTAACGATTTCCTGGATACGTTTAATGCTCTGGCGCGCTTACGAGTTGACTGTGTCGGATTTTCGCGAATAGACTGTGTCTATGTTTTGTTCCGTACGTGACGTCCTGGGACGACCCAACCGCGGTTTATCTAACGTCGAACCGGTCTCCTCGAACTTAGCAACCCAGTTCCTAATCGTTTGAAGAGTTGGATTGTCGTCAAAGTTGTGTAAACCTTTGTGTTCTCGAAATTTACGCCGCGCAACGTTTTAAAACGCACGGTTCGCTCCGGTAAAACGCTCCATTGCGACTAAATTCCCAGAAACCGAAGTTACTCCCCCGGCTTCCCCTGCACCGCTCACGCGCGCCCTGTTCGTTTTATTCAAATTTTACTTTTCAAAGGACTTATGGGCCACCCTGTATTCAACAGCAGTAGCAAAAATGCTATTACTGTGGGGAGGAAGGGTTATTTGATTAAATATCACATTTCTAGACACCAACATAGCACAACCAGCTTAACCATCTGTCCCGTCCCGTAAACATGAGAACCCCGGGATCCTAAAGTTGGATCCTGGCTTAAGCCATATCTCTTGGACAGCAAAGATAGAAGGTTTATATTTATTAATAAGAGTGTTAATATCATTCCATAATACCACTGTTGGGCATAGGCCTTTCCCATTACCTTCCACAGATTGCGGTCCTCCGCCTCCCGCATCCAACGACTTCCCACCATGCGCACTAAGTCGTCGGTCCACCTGGGTGGAGGACGCCCTACGCGGCCTCCATTCGAGGACTTTCCTCCACCACCTGGCGTCGCTGGCCCGACATATGTGACCGGCCCATTGCCACTTCAGCCTACTGATTTTAAGAGCTATGTCGTTAACTTTGGTTCTCCGTCGAATTTCTTCGTTCCGGATTTTATCCCGTAGAGAAACTCCGAGCATAGCTTTCTCCATCGCCCGCTGTGTGACTTTTGGAATGAAACGAAACGAAATTTCCCAAATATCGCCCAGCCCAGTCGTATGCGTCTCTCGATCTCCGTATTGAAGTTACCCCGATCAAGCTGGATGATGTACTCACCGTTGACATTGATTCCGCACATTTTTCAGTCCAGCTTCTTAAAGACATCTTCAAGTGCAGCGGTGAACAGTTTCGGAGATATGACATCTCCCTGTCGGACTCCCCGCTGCAACTTGATGGGTCTTGACTGGCTGTCCTAAATTTGCACAGTCATCGTCGCGGCGTCGTACAGACATCTCAGCATCTCGATATAGTGATATTCGACCTGGATATGAGTGCGAATTGGATATGGTATGTGGAAGAGGTGAGGATTGGGGATGTTTTGGAAAGATTGAGTGGAAAAAGGCGGGGAGACGAGCGAGAAACATCTGCAAAAGATTTTCTGACTCGTGGAAACCTAGTTAAAGCTTCATTGTATGAAATATTCTCTTGAGACATAACCAATTTGATGCATTTTTGTCTGGAATGTTCAGGGCAGGATGAATCAATAGCTTTATGATTACCAGAGCAAAACAAACAGGTAGGTATAGGGGATACACTATTACATTCGCTACCAGAGTGAGGTTTCCCACAAATGAAACAACGTGCTTTTGAGCAGCATTGAGTAGCCACATGGCCAAATCTACAGCAATTATTACATTGTATGGTTGGTAAGATATAAGTTTGGACTGGGAGGGAAGTGTATAAACAGTAAAACCTGTCTGGGAGTTTTTTTCCTATAAATGTGAGAACAGCTGTAGGAGTCGGGACCAGATAGGGGTATTATTTTCAGTCGACTTTTTGTTGAGCCACCTGGCTCTGATAACTTGACCAAAGCCTTCAGGGACTTCGATGGAAGGGTCTTAATCTTCAAGTGCCCATTCTACTGGTACATCTCTCACAATACCCATGCGGGTCACATTATACGATGGGATAATGGCATTGTATTTAGCTGCGACAAGAGCTGGGTTTACTCATAAAAGAGGTTTAGGCTAAGCGCCATCTGCGCTCGGACACCTCAAGCCCGGTGAATCTGTAAATGCCTCTTCAAGGCAAACTGTGACAACACAGTCACAAAAAAAAAAGAGCTGGGTGGTCAAGAAAAGAATTTGCGGCAAGTGCAGTTTTAAATTCGACCGAAACTCTGTTCGGCCGATGCGTTTAAGTCACCTCCTTGATTTCATTGTGGTGTAAAAAGTGACCAAACTTAATTGGACGAATAGTTTTGACTAAACTATTAGCTGCGAAAACACATAGCAACCAACCACAGCCGCAACAACAAAATTCAACTATGCTAGTGAAGTTTGATCCTGACGATAGGGAATCTGACATTGAAGGTTGGTGTAGAATTACCGACATCATAGTGACTAACCGAAACCTGTGCGGAACTGAGTTATTACTGGCCTTAATCAACGCATTGAAGGGACGCGCGGCATCTTGCCTGACCAGGTTGAAAAGCTCAGAAATAGAATGGCCACGCGTCAAGGAATTGCTGCTCGCACGATTCGGAAAACCCATGCTCATGCAAGACTATTTTGACAACGTAATAAAATTCGAAATCGGATCCCAAGAGACCGCCTCCGAAGCGGCTATGCGTATGTGGAGTTTGGTGGAACGTATACCGAAAGTGGAAATGATGAAAGAGGTTATCACTGGTTTCGTTATATCAGTACTCAGCCAAAAGAGCTCGTTAATACGTAGAGAGCTTAACTCATACACCATCGCAACGAGAGCTCAACTGTACCGTGCACTTAGTGGAATGTCGCTAAAAAGACGCCACGGGGAAAACGAAGAACAACCTCCCAACGTAAAGAAATCGCGTACAACTGATGATTCAAAATTTAGCGGAACCTGTCACTACTGCGGACACCGTGGACACAAATTCGAAGAATGTCGCAAGCGTCGAGACAGTGTTACGGTAACAAGGATAGTGGATCGAGATAAATCAGTGACATGTTTCGCATGTCAAAAACCGGGACATATCAGCACGGCTTGCCCCAACATCAAAACAGATAAAGAATACGTAGTTAAGAAGGGTGTGAATGTCTGCGAACGGAAGCTGGCGAAAGGTACGATGGCCACATCAACCAGTAAGTCCTTTCTATTTCTATTCGACAGTTGTTCGGCATGTTCATTAATAAAAAAATAACCTAGCTGCTCAACTTCCGGGTACTGTTCGCAACAGTACCATTTTCTTGACAGATATAGGTGGCAAAGACGTAATATGTTCAACTCAAATCAGCGGTCTTGTTCACATTCATGATATCCCACTTCTGATAAAGTCTTTCGACTATCATCAGACATTTTGGGGTCTATTCTAATATCTTCGAGTAGGCGTAGTGTATGGGTAGTTTAATGAAGCGATAGTTTTAATAATCAGGATGCTTATAATCGGTAGTACTACAAATTACACTTTACTTTAACACTGATATATAGTTACGAAACAATTTCTAACTAATTGGAGGAATAACGTCCATTGAACACGTGGTCGCGCGCGCACCGTGTGAACGTGAACCGCATTCGATTCGTACTGTCACTTTTATAAGATGGCCGCCGTTCCAGTGCTCGATGTTCGTTATGGAAATGGACTGCGCCGACATACTTATGAATAACACAACACACTTATGTAAATACACAAAACCATTAATTTTTCTCAGATATTATAACTCAACTGCAACCGAGCGTCAGCGCTGTCAAACGTCACGTTTTATTTTAAGTTCAACAAATCCGACATATGACAATGCAATGACCGTTCATCTTCTAACATCCCAACAAAATTTAAATGTTTGTGATTGTCATATTTTAGGTATACAGTTTCAGATAATTAAAAAAAAAATCTTTGGATCACTCGTAAACTCACGAAACTTTTCAATAAGCAGAGTATTGTTTCCATTCAATAAACAGTAATCAATAATTTCAGTAATCAATAAACATGAAGGATAAGTTACTTAAGTCAAGAATATTCCATAGATACTTTGTTACACTGATTTAACATGACAGATTGTAAAACTTTTAATACTCCAATGGAGAGCAGACTGAGTGTAAATTTAGGTCAGAATGTTAATTAACTTATTAAAACTTTCGTGAGACATTATTCCGCGTGGGAACCCGTGCTGCTGAATGCGAAGCGGAATAAGATCGACAATGTTGAAGACAACGTAGTGGACATTGTCAGTGTATTTTGTGCCCCCGGTTATAACAATGACAATACCACGTCAGTATCGAGCTCGTCTTCGCCGACGGACATAGTGAATAGTGTACCCCACGCACCCCCCGCGCCCCCCGCCCAGTCGAAACGCGCGATGCGGGCGAGGGCACGCAGTGACCGTCGCGACGCGATAGCGAGTATACCCGATTAATCACTCACCCTGAAGAAGGACCCCCAACGGGTTCGAAACTGTCGGTGCCTACACAGAATGTTATCGCGTGAGTTTAGCCGTGTAATAATTTATGCATAATGTTAATAATCAATTACCTTATCAAAAGCTTATAGGTAGCTTGATGTACTTGTCTTGACTAGACCGGATATAACTTTTTCTGTTAATTATTTAAGTCAATTTAATAATTGTCATATAGATGAGTATTGGCATTATGCTAAGAGAGTTCTAAAATGTTTGAAAAAGACTAAAACTTTCGGTATTAAATATTGTAAAAATGGGAATTCAGATATTAAAGGTTTTGTTGATGCTGATTGGGCAAATAATTTATTGGATAGACGGTCATATACTGGTTATTGTTTCTTGTTATCTAATGGTATTATATCTTGGGAATGTAAAAAGAAAAAGTCAGTTGCACTTTCAAGTTGTGAAGCAGAATATATGAGTTTTTCTGAAGCTTGTAAAGAGGCTATTTATTTAAGGAATTTGCAATTTGAGAAACTAACAAAATGTATACTTTAAAGTTAATGATCAAAAGTTGTCAATGAATCCAGTATTTCACAAGAAATCTAAACATATAGATGTGAAATATCATTTTACTAGGGAATGTGTATTCAATAATATTGTAAAATTGAACTATTTGTCAACTGATATGCCAGCTGATTTACTTACTAAGAGTTTATGTGCAAAGAAGCATTATACTTTCATGGATTTGTTGGGTGTAGTAGCTGTGTAAACTGTTTTGTGATTTTGATGATTATAAGATATAGGAGGAGTGTTAATTTATATCTTTATAATCTATACTCTTTGGCGTTCTTAAATAGTCTATGTCTGTACTCTTTTGTAACTTGCTCTTTGTCTTATCTTTTAAATAAAAGTGTGTTCGACCAAAATTGGTGGTTTTCATTATACCTCCCGAAATGAACCAAGAACTTTTTGAAAAGGCAAAACGAGATTGTCTACGAAAAAATGATTTAACCGAAAACAGAGAAAAAAATTGAAAAAGATTGCAACGTGACTGTGATGAATGGCTGGATATAAGAAAAAATATGATCACTGCATCGACTTTTGTGAAATAGCAAAAAGGAGAACTAACACAAGTTCTACAAAGTTGGTAAAAGAATTACTGTATCATAAAAATATTTCTCATGTCCATCGATTGCTCAAGGTATCGAAAATGAAAGTTTGTAGCATAAGCAACATTACAAAAATATAGACAGTCTATTCTTTGAGTCCTTCATATCCAGATAGCCATGTATTGTTGCCGCATACCTCGTCTAGATTCATTCACATATAGCGACAAGCTGTTATAAGGTAACAACAGTAAAGGAAAGTGGTGTGAGTGACATCTGTGAAGCCCGACGGCAAATACGAGATTTAAATATATCCCTTTCGGGTTGGCCAATGCGCCGGTACGTCAGTGTAGGATCAATATTCTTGGGTCAGCTCGTTTCTGTAAGGCAACAGTATATATATGTAACACGTTGACAGCTAAGAAGGCATGAAGAGAAGACTGCACAGAAATATATTGTGAATAATTTATACTACCGATATACTATTGTTATAAGACTAATAAAGAAACACTACATGGCGCAGTCGGTAAATCGGTTACATTAATTATTAAAAGTGGATAAGAGGCTGTCACACAATGTCCGGTGGGGTTGAGTACCGAATGCCCGAACCATTGCATCTTGATAGTATAGACGGGCTATATGCCAGGTGGCAAAAGTTTATATCAAGTTTTAACCCTTAAACACGCGTTGTTGCATATCTGCATATATCGAATATTCAAAAGATTTGATAGATTTCGTTTCGTGTATCCGAATGTAAACTACCATAGATTATAGATGACAATTATATTTATTTTGACAGTTCGATTGGCGGGTCGATTGCAAATTTCTAAACTTCATAATCACAATTTATAATATCGCGGGCGCGGGTAAACGTAAAAAGCAATTAGTGTAAAATTGTTATTCAGTTGTTTTATAATTCTATAAAGTATGTGTTGTTTGTTTTTTTTTTATTTTTATATTACTTATAATATCAAAAGAAAAATAAATAAATAATTTTATGGAAATTCCATTGTTTGATATACTTTTTTCTTCAAAATCCGTTTGTTGCATAAGTGCAACATTGCGAATTTACTTTCATAGAAATTTCATTTTCTAAAGTCTAATTGTATTTTTTTCTAGAATGGCGAGAAGGCTGAATGATCAAGTTATTGAGGAGTACCTCCAGAACCTGGACCAGTCTGAGGATGATATGGAATCCTCTGCAGGAGAAGAGGATGATGAAGAAGTTTACTTCGAGAATAATAGGCAGTTATTAGCGGATTTAGAAGATGAAGAATTTGTTGAAGATATGGATATACCTATGGAAAGTAGTACTGTTGATCCACCTCTTATTTTTGATAATCATAATGACCCAATTTTAGAAAATTTGAGTGAAACGCCACAGCCTTCTGGTCAACGGAATGGGACAGCTCGTCCACGACAAAGCCGTGTAACGTGGAGACGCACAAACCTCACCACCATTGATGATATTCAAAATTTTTATCAACTGCAATATCCTGACAGCATGTTAGAATTAGAGACGCCGTACAATTTTTTTTCTTTCTTTTTCTCTCAAGAACTGAGGGATAAGATCAAGGCAGAGAGTAATTTGTATTCTACCCAGAAAAATCTTTCCAATCCATTTGTTATCACTAGCAATGATCTCAATAAGTTCCTTGGGATTCTAATTTATTCTTCTATTGCAAAGTTTCCAAACTTCCGGTTATACTGGTCAGCTCAATATGGCTATGAACCTATAAAGTCAACCATGACACAGAAGAATTTTGAAAAAATTTGTTCGATTTTACATTTCAATGATAATACCACTCACTTACCCCAGGAACATCCTAATCACGACAAATTACACAAAATTAGACCAATAATTGACGATCTAAATAGTAACTATGCTGCTATTCCTTTAGAACAACGCTTATCTTTGGATGAACAAATGTGTGCTACTAAAATAGGTTACTACATGAAACAATACCTCCCCAATAAACCACATAAATGGGGATTCAAGCTTTTCTTGGTATGTAGTGTCTATGGATTTGCACACAAGTTTGAAGTCTATACTGGCAGTGATAAGAATCCTCTCGGAAATGGCGAACCAGATTTAGGACCAACTGGTAACACAGTTGTACGGCTTTTGCGTTTTGTTCCAAGACGTGCAAACCACATAATTTACTTCGATAATTACTACACATCGGTGCCCTTGGTCACTTTCTTGCAAAAGAAGGAATATATTCCTTGGGAACTGTCCAGTCTAATCGTATCCCAAATAATAAACTGCCAGATAAGAAGACGCTGATGAAAAGAACGGTACCAAGGGGACACCATGAGGAACAGGTTGCCAATGTCGATGGTATCGACATCAGTGCAATAGTATGGAAAGATAATAAACCAGTTACTTTGCTGTCAACCTATACCGGAGCCTTTCCTGTGACTACTATTTCGAGGTATGATAAAGCAACGAAACAGCGGGTACAAATAAATTGTCCTAACGTAATAAAAGACTATAATACCCATATGGGAGGAGTCGATCTGCTTGACAGTTTCATTGGAAGGTACCACATTACGCGTAAAAGCAGAAAGTGGACAAACCGCTTGTTTTTCCACCTTTTAGACGTGACCATTGTAAATTCCTGGCTTATGTACAAAAAAACTCTAAAACAGACCAGACCCAATACTACACTTATGAATCTATGTAAATTTAGACTAGAGCTGGCCAATGCATTATGTAATCTTGGCCTTCACAGCAATGGTACAAAAAGGGGCCGCCCAAGCTCTTCATCTTTAGAAGCTGAATTGCAGTTGAAAAAGAAGCGTGGACCAGCACAAACTGTACCTCCTAAAGATGTCCGCCAAGATAAAATCGACCACTGGCAAAAAATCGTTCTAAAATTCGTAACTACAACGCGGAAGTAAATTGCCTAGTTTTGCCGAGCATTACTGGAACGTTACCCGCAGCAGATATACCTTGCGACAACATAGGTATACCCAACCATATTCAACTCGCTGATTTTACTTTCAATATTTCGTCAGAAATCTACTTATTAATCGGAGCCGATTTATATTGGGATTTATTAAATGGTACAAAATTCAAACTTACATCGGGTCCTTACTTATGCGATTCTCATTTAGGCTGGCTACTTTCCGGTCCCATCCAAACACATATCAAGCGTTCATCTCATACCGAAACTCGATGTAACTTAACTCGCAATGGTTTTGATTTACGTAAATTTTAGGTCCTCCATTGCAAAACGATATATTTTCCATTCTACTTCGCTTTAGACAATATAGGTATGTGGCATGTGCGGATATAGAAAAAATGTATCGACAAATATTAATACAACCGGATCAATGCAATTTACAACTAATTCTATGGAGGGATGCCCCAGATCAACCTGTTAGAATTTATCGTTTAAATACAGTTACTTACGGTGTGTCATCCGCCCCTTATTTAAGCATTCGCTATTTACATCAGCTGGCTCAAGAATGTAACAATGACGTCATCGCACGCGTCATAAGAGAGGATTTTTACGTTGACGACTTAATCACTGGAGACGATCAGATATCGTCCTTAGTGAATACGTGTAATGAGACTGCTCAAACTTTACTTAATGGTTGTTTTTCCTTGCGCAAATGGACATTCAACCATGAAGTTCAACGTGAGTCAATTAAAAATTTAAATATAGGTGACTACTGTCAGTCTACCACATTAGGTTTAGGTTGGTCTAACCAACAAGACACTTTACATTTTACTACCCAATTAGATAACAGCAATAATTCGATTACTAAACGCTCGATAATGTCGAAAATCTCGCAAATATATGTCGGCGATACGCCAGGGTTTTCGCGTTGAGAATCCATCACCACAAAATACACACTCCAGATTTAGTTTACTTTATTTTGCCACGATAGTCAGTATAGAAGTGAGTCTTTTTTACAAAATTCATTCGTTTTATATAGATTTGTTGACAGAAAAATGACTTCCTGTACAACAAAATAAAATTTAATAACTACAAACAAATTAATGAAATATAGCTAAATATTCAAAATAAATATTTAGATAAATTTAACTTAACTTCTAATGATTTATTTAACATGATTACATTAATTAAATGTGAACAGATATCGTTCTTACACAGCTCCATCAACAGATGGCGCTGTTAACAGAATGAATATAAAATAAACTTTAATGCAAATAATCAACTTTAATTCAGAATAAAGTAATCTATTTTAATTTGAATATTCATACAGTAAATTAATAATTTAAACAGCATATTAAACATTTAACATTTTTAAAATAGTCAACACAGTGTCTGCTGCATATTAAATTAATGAACATTTCTTTTATAAATAACAGTATAATTTTAATCACATTTATTGCCTATATTCTATAATAAAATTACAATAATAAATCTAAATAGTATTTTTGGTACTAGGCGATTTGCGCCCATATATACGATCCATTAGGTTTATTGTCGCCTTCTATAATCATTGCTAAAATATTGTTACAGAAGTTATGGCTTAACAAATTAAATTGGGACGACGCTGTTCCCCTTCACATCGCTGCATCTTGGAGTCAATTCATTAATTCGTTAAACTGTTTATCCGATGTACGATAATACAGAGTCCAAGGAATTGCATATTTTTTCGGACGCCTCTCAAGAGGCGAATGGTGCATGCGCTTACGTTAGATGCCAAGATAGCCAAAACTCGGTAAGTGTTCATTTGCTCTGTGCAAAAAGTAAGGTTGCGCCGCTAAATCCTTGTACGATCCCTAGGCTCGAATTATGCGGTGCTCTCGTCGGCGCACAGTTATATAAAAAGATAATTAAATCGCTTCGTATAAAATTCGATCAAGTACATTTCTGGACGGACTCCACAATAGTACAGGGTTAGTTACGCACCCCCAAATGCCCTTAAAACATTCGTACAAAACGAGCTCACTAATAATGCCATCTGGCGACATGTTTACAGTAACGACAACCCCGCCGACTTACTGTCGAGAGGAATACGTCTCGAGTTACTTCTGACATCCATGGCTTATGGTGGAGCGGTCCTGATTTCCTGCAGCAATCGACGATTGAATATCTTGGCAGATTGCTGTTGCGACTTACCCGAATTAAAACCGAAAACCGCTCACGTAGCGTTCCAGGTATCCGATCCTAGCATTGATTTTGAAAGATATTCCTCTTTTACTCGTCTACAACGCACGGTCGCCTATGTATTGCGCTTCACCTACAATTGCCGCAAGGTTAATAAACATAGACGACGAACCGGTTTGTTATCACTCGATGAATTAAATAATTCAGTACAATATTTAACGCGTCTGGCGCAACAACAATCTTTTGTCAAGGAATATGATAATTTAAATCGTAAATCACCTTTAACTGGAACTGAGCGCAAACATTCGAATCGAGTTTTTAGGTTTAAACATTTTTCTTGATAACAATAATATCATTCGCGTCGGAGGAAGACGATGAGAGAGACCACGAGACAAATCAAAAATAATATCAAACGAATATGGAAAAAATAGCACTGCCCCCGATATGAACCAAGAAGTTTTTGAAAAGGCAAAACAAGGTTATCTACAAAATTTAAATGATTTAACCAAAAACAGAGAACAAATTGAAAAAGATACAAGATTTCAACGTGACTGTAATGAATGGCTGGATATAAGAAAAAATATGATCACTGCATCGACTTTAGTGGAAATAGCAAAAAGGAGAACCGCCACGCTACTTAATTCGCCCCTCCTACGAGGAGATCAGGCCATGTTCTTAGCCCCTCCTCTGGACAACACGCCACCTGCGCTGCCGCGTCCCCGCTACTCATCTCTTGCACCCCGTGCCCAGCTCGAGACATTCCCGTGTCGCGCCTCCCGTGCCCCGCGCCTCATCCCACGGTCGGCGCAACCGCACCGGACAGCCAATCGCACCCCGTCTGTTCTCGCGCACATACACATGCCTTCAGAATCTTCCGGTGCCTCGTATTCACATGTTTTTTGTAACTTTTTGTTGTGTAATGTTAACATTAGTATTAAAGTGGCGCCCAACTAGTGGCTTTTAAACAATACAAAGTAAAATCGAATCTATAATATCGTTAATATGACGACACAACAAACACGAGTACGTTTGACTCGGTCAGCAAGAGATTTTGAGGCGAACAAATATGTGGAAGGCGACTCCCGACTCATCAACGAGAGCGACGGGGAGGTCCGCGCGGAAGACTGCGTCATGTCGAAACATGCATACATCTTCGAATTGCGACCAGCTCAGTATGTTATAGCAATTGCTTGCGTCACCAGTAAGATCAATAACAGCCGAACCATATTGCTCATGTCGGAGATCTTCCTCCAGAAGTGCTTACCTTTGACGTGTGAAAGAGCAACACTCTTATAATATAACTCATGTGTTAGGAAGGACACAAATATCAACCACCCAAGGTAACAATTGAGTGTTGAAAGAACTCTCCGGAATTATGTAACTTTAAAATAAACATGTTCCATCTTGCAAATGTAAGGGTTCATTAATTTATAGCATTATTAAATTCAATTTAATGAACAAAAATAATAGCGTTCATATCCATGTCAAATGTTTATTCGGTTTTTTTTTTGGAACGGCAACACTGGTCGTGAGCAGTTGGCGTGAGCGCGTAAAAAGAATAAGGGTATAGGAGGTCATAAACAGCATATCGCTATCTCTGTGCGGAACGCGCAAGAATGTGTGACAGAGAAAATCACCTCTCACTCACTCTCATTA